GTATTGGACCTAGACCGTTAGCAGAAAAACACCCCTCCCCCCCCAAACCATTACATTGCCTCCACCATGCTTCACAATTTTATGGCAGTAACGTAAATCGAGGCGTTTTCCGGCCGGTCGACGTACGCGGCAAATGCCATCGCTCTCAATGATGTTAAACTTTGATTTGATGAGATGTAGCTAACAGGAGTCTTTTTTTCTGGTTCTTTAGTGAAATCAGCGGTTTCATTGCAGGTCGTCGAGAAAACAATCCGGCTTCAACAGCACGTCGTCTGATTGTTCGGTCCAATACAGGCAGATCTAATTGCTTTTGTATCTCGACTGATGATATCCAGGGATCCTTCTTGACGGATCTGACGATCATAGAATCCTTTCTAGAAGTGGTGGAACGTGGTCTTCCACCTTTGTTATATGCTGCCAACTTCCCCTAAGAACAATATTTGGAACATAGACTTGATACGGTCAATTTTTTCACACGATATTTATCACAAATACTTTTTTGACATTTCACTTACGTAATCGCTAAGAATTTTTTTTCTTAGTTTCAATCCAAGACTGTCGGGAGCCAATTTTGCACTTGAAGTCATGAAAGTAATAAAAATAAATAATCACGCTACTCAAGGCTTACCGTGTTACATTTACCGTGTGATAATACAATAATGCTCTGTGGAACACAACGTCTTGGTTGGATGTGAACTGTATTGATGTAATGAAACACTTGTTGTATTTTACTTCTTGTATTCATGTTCTTTGATAAAACATTGATACAACTTACTTCGATAAACTGTCTTGAAAATATTGACTGATTGACTTCCATATTCTGACTGAATTACATGTTGGTTTACATGTCTCTTATGTAGTAAAATGAACCTGTGTGAACCTGTTCTGGAAGATTGTAGATGCTTCTTTTCAATGCTTCTAGAAGCTTCTGGATGTGTCAGGATGCTTCTCAATGTTTTTGGATACTTCTGGATGCTTCTGGATGCTTCCAGATGTTTCTTCTGGAAACTTCTGGAAGCTTCTGCATCCTTCTGGAAACTTCTGGAAAGTTCTGGATACTTCCTTTAATTACTAAAAAACTTCCGTAACGTTGACACGGACCAGAGTCAAGAAAATGAATCAAACTAAAAAAGATGCGCTTGTTTTGTCCGCTGCAAAATGGCACAACGAAATTCTGCCTGTGTGTTGTCACCTGTCAGCTGATTGCTCATGTCATGGTATGCTATGACTCCAGACTCTTGAACAGTTTGCTGTGTTAGTATAGTTCGTTTCGTTTTTAAGACATGTAAAATTAGGAACACTTTTTAGCATTATTCGATGTTGGTTGCAAATGTTTTGTCCAATACTGTATATATATATATATATATATATATATATATATATATATATATATATATATATATGTGTGTGTGTGTGTGTGTGTGTGTATATATATATATATATATATATATATATATATATATATATACATATATATATACATATATATATATATATATATATATATATATATATATATATATATATATATATATATATATATATATATATATATATATATATATATATATATATATATATATATATATATATATATATATATATATATACAAAATATTCTATATCCAGAAATAAAATATCCTAAATATGCCAGCTCTGACCATATATGCATCATTGCAATGACTTGTAGAGTTGTTGGTTTTTTTTAGTTATTTAGGTCTTTTCAGAAGTTCAAACAGTCTTATCATAGAGCACTGAAGAACAACACTTAACCAGGTAAAACCTCATTCATTACCAACGGATTGCTTGGTAACGAGGCTTAAACTTCCTAGTTAAAATTCAAATCTTAAATTCCATCCAAATGTAGATTTTTACGCAGTTAGAAAAAACTTTTATCCTGTTACGCTAAATAGTTTAAAGTCATCATTGTGTTTATAGAACTAAAATAATAATTATAACTCATTTTAATTAAAATGTTTTGCATATGTTTTACAGCGATAGTCGGGCTGTTTACTCGAAATTTTTTGTAAGGTATACTTTTGTGTATATACATTGCATAACAAAAGTCGAGTTTCGAAAAACGTATATTGGCATAAGTGTGAAATGCCAGTTAGCAAGTATGTCAGTTTTTGTAACTGCCTCGCACTTATGCCAATTTGCACAAATGCCAATATTTGTAAATTTATTTGGCGCACTTAAGCCAATTCGCACTTACTCTGGTTCGCACTTATTCCAGTTTTCGCAATTGCTTCGCACTTATGTCAGTTCGCACTTACATCAATGTTTGCAAATTCATTTGGCGCACTTATGCCAGTTTTTGCAACTGCTTCGCACTTATGCCAGTTCGCACTTATGAAACTGGCATTTATTCAGCTTAAAAGCACAAATAAAAGGTGTTTTAAAAGGTGTACATTTTTTATAAAAAACACTTTTTAAATAATAAAAAATTTATCTATATTTATATACTGTACTAAACTTTACATTTATAATGTACTAACTTTTAATAAAACTTACTCAACTTTATATAACTTTTGAAAAAAATAAACTTTTTTTATTACAAACAATTAATAAAAGCAAATTGTCGCTTTGTTTAAAAGCGTTTTATATAGAATTATTTACTTTATATTTTTATTATTTTATATAAAATTATATATTAGAAATGTTCAACTTTAAGCATGTTGAAATTAAATTTTGCGAACATACAAGGAAACATACATAAATTTGACTGTTTTTAAAACGTCTAAAAAGCCTTGGCCAACTTGTCGCAACTAATGAACACAAGCCTGATATATATAAGTATGTGTATTATGGGTGTTCACTATGCAAAAAAAATTTAAACCAGCCAAATTAAATTTATCCCGTTCTAGTGTTTGTGTAGAATATAAAAAGTTTTATTATCATATTCTAATAACTATTATAGAGCCCCCTAAAAGTTCTTAAAGATAAGCTTCAATTTCCTGTATAAAGCAATATTTTTTTTTTAAATTAAAACACGGAAAAATAAGTACACTAAATCACACTTTTCAAGTAATTAAAAGTTAAACAACAGAAATCAAGCCAAACAAAAGCAGCTGATATAATATATGTTATAGTATCCAGTTAAACCAAGCTAGTTCTGCATTTTTTTTGTTTACATTTAGAGTCAAAATATATGAATGTTGTTTTATTATCCAAGACAATAAAACAACATTATTAACATTCGGTTAATAATTAATTCATTCATAAACAACATTATTAACTGAATAATTCATAAAAATTTTTTGCCTGTGATTTTAGACGCTTTGCAGTAACCATTCTCTTTGTTGTAGATCACTGGTTATGATTGTCGAAAATTCTGAAATCAGTTTCACTCCTTGCTCTGCATTATCATTTACAACTTTTACCGAATTTTTCAGCTTTTTGATATCATGGTTGCCCAGAAGATTTGGTTGACGAGTGATTTTACGAAAAACTGGCTAACCAAGACAAAGATTTTCAGATACTGGAATTTCCAAGAGTTTGGCTACCATACCTTTTTTCACAGCGAAACTAACATGTTTGCTAAAAAAATAGAATTTAACTTCATCTTCAGTCAAATACCATTGTTGATCGGTTATTTTGGAAAGACAAACATCAGCAACTTCATATATTTCTTTGTAGTCCACCATGTCGTGGATGAATTGCAAGTCGTTCATAGGTGCATCAGAACCAATGCTAGCTTTTGTCCAAGCTGGTGTGTGGAAAAAAGAAAGATACCTGTTCATTCTTAAAAGTTTGCGTGTCATCTTCTGGTCATAATACAATTGTTTAGAAAACAGGAACATTTTGTTCTGTTCTTTGTCATTAACTTCCATGTCTCATCATCATGATCTTATGGTCTACCTTTTTTTCTGTTTCATTTTCTTTATAGCTGAGTATGATTTTCCAATTATATCTGACTTCTTGCATTTTTGCTTTAATTCCTGATTTCATGATTTCCTGTATGGCATCAGACACATTTTCCGCTATCATCACTTTAGCGATTTTTGCTCTTCAACAATCAGTTCCACTCATTCCAAAAGACACATAGGATCTAACACCGAATTTTGCCTTGTCTTAATGCATGCCATGCTCCAAAAAGTTACAATTGCATTGATAACTATATTGCCCATCTCTTGATTTGCTACATCATGATTTCTGACATTTTCTTTATCAAGTCATCGAAAATAAAAAAATTTCAAAACCTGTCTCCAATCAAGTAGTTTAGAACCAGTTATTGATGGTGATGGGTAGCCAATTAACAAAAACTTAATTAAAGGATGAGTAACAGGTCTTATTGATTATGATTAAGAGAGTGAAGACTGGTCAGTTGTAGTTTACAAACAACAGGAAGTGGTCACTAAAAACTCCAATTTAGTTTTTAACTATACCACTTCTTGTCAACATTACAGTTTTAATTTATTTCACTAAAACAAAACACAGCAATACTACATATTGATATTACATATTATTAAACACATAAGAATATTACATAACAATATACACATATTAATATTACATATTTTTGTACATATCAATATCAAAATACTAACTTGCTTGTTTATGAAATTTGTAACCAATGCAAAAATTTGCTACTGTTTTATGCAGAAAATTGAGGCTTATCTTTAGGGGCTGTGAGGGGACTCTAGAATAGTTATTAAAATGTAATAATAAATAATATATATATATATATATATATATATATATATATATATATATATATATATATATATATATAATAATATATATATATATAATAATATATATATATATATATATATATATATATATATATATATATATATATATATATATATATATATATATATATATATATATATATATATATATATATATATATATATATATATATATATATATATATATATATAAAATCTACCTTCCCACTAACTTTTAAACTGCTAGTCTTCTAGATAAATTGTCAAAACCTGGACTTGTAAAACAATTTCTAGTTACATCTTACCAAAAAAATACAAATATTATTGAAATAATTTGGAATTTGACACCACCTTTTTAAAATTTAGTAATTTTAATAAATAAATTATGAATGTTTTGTCTATTACCGAACTGCCCCTCCATATATCATTTGCTTTTCAAACTGTTCTGCTGTAAAAGTACCATCAATTCTCTCACAGTTTTTATTAAATACTGAATATGCACTAGGTTCTTTTTTTGTCTTTTTTCGTTTATCCATACTGTAGTACATGACAACGAGGCCTGACACTGCTAAATAAACTGCAGCAAATTCTAATTTAATGAAAAATATTAGTAAACAAAACCATATAGCAAAATTGAGTATTGATTTCACATTGTATAATTTAAAAAAAATAACTTTTATTAGACTCGATTGAGCTACAGCAAATTCGCTAACACTATCATTATCACTTTCGTCGTCTATTTTTTCATTTAGGTCTTTTGTAGTTGAAGTTTCTAAAAATTCTTTTGTCACAAATTGTTCCAAAACATCCGATTTTTCTTTAATTTTCTTGGCTCGATATTCTGCTAGTTTTTTTTCCATGCTATTTGAAAATTTTTTATTTAGATATAGTGCTTAACTTGCTTACCAAACAATTATAAGTTTACTTTTACGTTTTTTTCAGCGACCATTTTCACGTTTCACTCTAGCAGCGACATTACGCGACTCGGTTCAGTTTGGAATTATTTTTTTTTTATAATAACATAATTTAACACATTTTCAAAATTAAGAAAATTTTAATTTCAAAACTAAAAAATTTCAAAAAATAAATTATTTAAATTATAAAAAAAAAATTTCTATTAGGGATCGTCCATAAATTACGTAACGCGAAATTTAACTAATAGACAAAAGAAAAAGTGTTAAAACTTTTCCCTCGCAGAGTCTTTAAGTAAACCATAGTCAATAGAAGTTATACTTCAATAGAAGTCATACCATAAGTCATAAGCCATAGTCAATAGAAGGTATAACTTCTATTGACTATGATTAAACCAAGGACGTATTAATAGATGGACGTTTAACCCATTGTTATAGATCTGAGGCTACTTTTTTTAAAAAGTACAATTACCTACAAAACTCTAACATTTTTTAAAAATTAATGCATAATAGTTATACAGAAATAGCTCATCTGTTTTAAAATGTCAAATTTGATACGTGAGCGCTTTTTAATAAGAACTTATTATTAATAAAACTTGGACGTCAAAAATCATATTTTTGTAAAAAAGTGATATTTAGTTTGCAAGAATGAATACTGCAAAGTGAAACGAATTTTCTAGATGTTGTAGGTAAAATTGTAGATCATATATAGATCGAACTATAAATTACTTGTGGTCTCTATTCCCTACACTTAGTTTTCACTATTATTTTAAGTATTTTAATTTCTCATTTTTGTCGGAAATTTTGTCTCGCAATTTTATTTTAATATTTTCTGTAATTAACTCTTTTTTTCCATATAAAGATTTCGCTTGAGTTTGTAGATCATATTATGAAAAGGTTTTATTTATTTAAAAACTTTTTAGATTTTTTAGGTGTAATGGAATGTTTAAATATTTCTAAGGCTAGACGAGACTATCCTTATTTTGACGTAAAATCAAGTAAAAATATTCTCAAGTTAAAAATAGTTCTCTATTGTTTTGCTTTTGTTATTTGTAACAATGAATAGCGCGGATATCTTGGGTTTTAAACAATACGTTAAACGTCCATCTATTAATACGTCCTTGATTAAACCATGTATAAATAACCCTTAAATAAAGTCCAGCGAAAGTCGCCGCTCAAAAGAGCAAAATGTTCTCCTACTTCTCCTATACTTTTAAAATTAGTTTTGCGTTGCGTAATTTACGGACGAACTGCTACTTTATATATTTGCTCTTCAAGTTTTTCTGCAACAAACAGTGGCGGGCTGGCCACTTACCGGTCATGAACCGGCCATTTACCGGCTATGAAAATAATTAAAGGGCCCTCCCGACCATACATATATCGCAAAGACTGCCCGATTCGGTGAGCATGATGCATATCTTTGAATGATCATATCATACTCAAGGCTATCAACTAGACTTTTTTTTGAAGACATCAATATAAGTTTTTGCTAAAAGTTTACTTGTTAATAAGGAATTAAATTCAATAAAAATTCAATATAAATTTTTATCACAACGAAATTAGATCACACAAAAAAAATAGCTATTTGTATAGCCCTAGATGTTACACATTAAGAAAGCCTTAACAATGCGAACGTTAAGGGCGAATACAAGAAATAAACTTTCTTTGAAAGTTTAACTTAAGAAGTTAAACTTTTAAAGTACCTCAAGAAACGTTGGATGTCATAATATTAACGTACAATAGGAAACGGGGAAGCGAAACCAGTGGTTTAGCTGCGTATATATATTATGGATACCCAAAGAAGAAGTTGTATGAGTGGCGGATTTAGTGTAGTACTCCTTAGTAAGTGCCTTGGAGAACAAGTAAGAAATCTAATCCTATACCTGCCTAAAAGTACCTACGCTTTTAACCTACCAACCCACCATTTTATAATATTTTTTTAAATTTAGTGTCTCCAAACTTTTTATAATTGACCTACTACCCTCCCTCCCCCCCCCCCCCCATGTTATATTTTTACATTTGCAGACCCCTCTTCCTCTCCGAGCGTTCGTATTTTATGGACGATCCCTTAACTACTTTTTAAGTGCTACGAAATTAAAAATTTAAAATGTTCAAAATATCTAAGTTTTCAATTAAATAAGATTTCAAACTCTTTCCCTAGGGCTTTTAATAACTGGTGTGAGGTTTACAACCCTAATATTAAAGGCACATGATTCGTTTAAAAAACATTAAATAACAAGCAATAAGTTTACGACTGTTAGGGAGCTACTCATAAAAATAAAGTGAACTATAAACTAGTCAATTTTTTAAAATATTTGAAAATAAGGTCAAGATAAATCTAATTATTTAATAAACAGGGGTGGGTAAAGGGAAAAAAAGAATTATCTGGTAGTATGAAATGCAACGAACAAAGAAAAAAATGAGTTTAGTAATTTTCATATATTTTGCAGTATTTTGCTTCTGTGTTTTTTTTTATCTTTTGTATAATATTTAATCTCTTACATATAAATTTTTACATTATTTAGACTTTCTTTTTTAAAAATTTTTATTGCAATATATTCTTTTTCTCAAGGTTGGTTTAAGCTTTCTGTTTATAGGGTTAGTTTTTGATTGTGTGATTTAAGAAGACTATTTTTTTATAAATCGAATAAAATGATTTTCTAACATGTGTAACTTTAATAACAATGAACCATATGACCAATTGGAACAATAAAACTATTAAATCAGCAATATACTTTTCTAAAGATAAATATATATTAATAGTAAAAAACATATCTCTTTTATTTAATATAAATTTTATTTCTCAAACATACTACAAACACTTTAATATGTATACTAATATAATACTCTACGCACAACTTATGAACCAATAGTTTTTTAAAAATATATAATCAAAACATTTAAAATAATATACTTTCAAGAATATTATTCTAAAGATTAATATCCTTTACCTTCTATCCAAAATCATCAAATTGTGTGCTCTTGTTCATCTATTAAATTGTCTATTTGTCTGGAAACAAGTTAACCTACCTCACTCAATCTATTATTTCTTTACTGCTATAAAAAGTTCTTGTTATTATCTTCCGTCGTTTAGTAACCTTAAATTATATATTCTCAATCATTACTTAGTTATGTACGTCAATAATTCACAAACCAATGCATAAAATCATGGAATAGATTACCTCTTCACTTTAAATCACTAAACCTTATTACTAAAACCGGTCTTTATGCCTACTTTTGGAAAGATACTGTTTGTAAAATATTGGGCTCATTGTGGGTTATTATTATTATTACTTTTGGTGTTATTTTATGTAATAAAAATATTATTTTATGTAATAGTAATATTATTTTATGTAATAAAAATATTATTTTATGTAATAGTAATATTATAACATTGTTTTACTATTATTCATATATTATTACTTATTTTTATTGTTTAATATTTAGTTTTAACACTTATTAAAACTATTATTACTATTATTACTGTTATTATTATAAATTTTTTGGTAACCCGCCTCCCCAAGGCCAAGAAGGCCACTACAGATGAGGAGGCTACTTGTGGTTATTACCCTCTCTCTATTAGATATATAGTATTATATTTATTAATATAAATAGCATTGTTAACATTGCTGATATTGTTATTGGCCTTATTATAATTGTTTTAATATTATTATACAATTTATTTTTACTTTAGAATAGTACTAATACTATTTCTAACCTTTTTTCATGATATATATTGTTATTTTATATATATATATATATATATATATATATATATATATATATATATATATATATATATATATATATATATATATATATATATATATATATATATATATATATATATATACATATATATATATATATATATATATATATATATATATATATATATATATATATATATATATATATATATATATATATATATACATGGGCGCCCGCAAGGGGGGGCAGGAGGGGGCACTTGTCCCCCCTCCCCCTGTATTTTCTAAATATAGAAAAAAATTTTCTTGTTTGTAACGTTCTTTATGCCATAAAGTTTGTAACTAAATTTTCCTGTAAAAAATATCTTTTAGTGATACTTTGTTACAGTTTCGGAAAAAACCTAATTAAATTTTTTTCCGAAATAATCAATTGCTTATTTGTATGAAAAACACAATATTTTTCAATCTTAGCATGTTTCGTAGTTTACACACTACATTTTCAAAATGGTGCTGACAAGTTTAAATTGTCTTCTTTTTTCCACGGACATATAATTTTTTTCTTCTCTTTATTTTATATCTTACATATCTTGATTTTTACATAACAGATAACAGGAAAAAAAGCAATAACAAAAAAGGTTTGCCCCCCCCCCCCACCTTATAAATTTTCTGCGGGCGCCTATGTATATATATATATATATATATATATATATATATATGTATGTATGTATGTATATATATATATATATATATATATATATATATATATATATATATATATATATATATATATATATATATATATATATCTTTGCATGCATGTGTATGTTCCATACATACACACACATATGATATATCATGTGTGTGTGCATGAATGTAAGAATTTTTTTTATAACTTTGTTCTGGTGCATTTGAAATGATCATGTTAAAAAATAAAGATGAAAAAATAAAATTATTTATTTATGTTATATTAGCTAATAGAAAAGCAAATTTTTTACTTACTTTCCATTGCATGTATTTGGAAACTTGCGATTGCTAAAACAAAACATACACACATATATTATATGTGTGTACGTTTTGTTTTAGCAATGAAAAGTTTCCAAATACATGCAATGTATAGTAAAAAAAAATACTTTTCTATTAGCTAATATAATATTAATAAATAATGTTATTTTTTTATCTTTATTTTTATAACATGATCGTGTAAAATGCACCAGAACAAAGTTATAAAAAAAAATCTTAGCACTTAACTACTCACATGTAGTGAGTAGTTAAGTGCTAACTATATAAATATATATATATATATATATATATATATATATATATATATATATATATATATATATATATATATATATATATATATATATATATATATATATATATATATATATATATATATATATATATCTTCGTACAGTTAGAAATTCAGAAATTTTATTTTAGACAGTAGTTTAGTTTGGAAAAAATTTCTT